CTTCGAGACTGAGCTAAACATGGACATCGCTGCTGCCCTGAAAGTACGTCTGGTGGTCTGGTCTAGGCTAACTGCCCAGCCCCTGCCCTGCACCACTCAGCCACCCGTGCCCCACCCACCAGCCCTGGCCCTGCTGTAACCCAGGCCCTCTGCCCTTCACTGCCTTTCTTCCTTCCCGCACACCCTGCTGCCTCGGTGACTTCCCTTGTAGAGAGGCAACCGGGAATGGTATGACAGGCTCCTGAACGCCAAGAGTCCTCGAGAGCAGGTACGGCTCAGAGAGGGCATGGCCATGGGGTGGGGTGGGGGTGGGGAGCAGGTGGGTGCAGGCCAAAAGGTCAGTGTGAACAGTGCTTCCTTGCAGCCGGGGCTGCAGCGACTTGCTGGGCTGGTTGAGCTGGTCGACGCCATCTATGAGGACCTGCAGTCCTGCTACAGCATCTATGCCAGCCTCTTCCACAGGTGGCGCTCAGGGCTCTTCCTGCTGCCCCTGCACCCAGCCCCTCAAGTGCTGCCACTGGGGCCAGGGGCCAGGGGCAGCAGGTGTCTGAGATGTGTCCTTTGCAGCATCATCAAGATCGACTTCTTTACACTCACCTTCCGGCAGCTGGAGCGCCTGGTGAGGCAGGGGGATGGGGAGACGCTTCCTGCCTGGGAAGGGGCCTGGGTTTCCTCGTGCTGACAGCCTGACTCCACCTTTCTGGGCAGCTAGCTGAGGAGGTGTGGGTACTGACCGAAGACTTGAGCCCCAAAATGACCCTCGAAGTGGCCTCACGGCTTTTTGAGCTCTACCTATCCCTGGCAGACATCCAGCGCTTCTGGAGCAGCATCCTGGGCCGGTGGGTGCCCTGTCCCCCCTCTCCCTCCCCTCATCCTTCACTTCACTTGCCTCCTCCATCCCCCTTCCCCCTAGCCCACCCACCTGACCCCCCTTTTCCCTCCCTCACCTGCTCCTCTCCCCCACACACTCTCTAGCTTCCTCCAGGAGGGCTCTGGAACAGGAGCCCAAGGGCCCTGTGCAGGAGGCTTTCCTGGGTCCTCCTTAGGCCAGGGATCCTGGGCTCCGCTGGCTCCAGGTGTCTGAGTCGGGCCTGCTTTGACTGGCTGGCCTCCTGCTGCAGGGACAGCCGGTCTCTGGCCCTGGCCAACATCCACACGCCATTCCTACCTGCCGTGAAGCTTTGGCTGCAGGTGCTGCGGGACCAGGCCAAATGGAGGCTTCAGGGAGCTGTTGATGTGGACACAGTGAGTGAGCACCCGGTCCGAGGGTACTGGGACCCATCCAGGGCCCCTCAAAACCCAGCTTCCTTTTGCCTTCCCAGCTGGAGCCAATGGACGGCTCCTCCAAGCACAGCAGCTCTGCAGCCACTGCAAGTCTCTGCTTCAGCCACATCCAGGAGCTGTGGGCCTGCTTGGCATGGCCGGACCCTGCCCAGGCCCAGGGGCTGGGCATGCAGCTTAGCCAGGTGGGCACTAGAGCCTGAGAATAGTTTGGGTACAGAGGACAGCAGGGCCAGGGGATGTGGCCCATAGCCTGGAGCACTGTGTCCTACCAGGACTTGTGTGAGGCTGCCCTCTTCTACACTGAGCTGCTGCGGAAGAAGGTGGACACTCAGCCCAAGGCCTCAGGCGAGGCAGTGAGTGAGCCAGTGAGTGGGCTGGCGGGCCGGTGGATGGGGGCAGGAGGTTGGGTGGGCCCAGCACATGACCACAAGAACCACTCCATCCCCTCCATCCCCCACACATCCGGCACATCTCTCCAGCTCTGCGTGGTCCTCAACAATGTGGAGCTCCTGCGCAGGGCTGTGGGCCAGGCACTACGAGGCCTGGCGTGGCCAGAGGGGGCCTCGGGGCTTGCAGGAGGGCTCCCCCGTCCCCTGCTCAGCTGCACACAGGCCCTGGATGAGGACCTGCATCGGGAGGCCTGCACTGTGACTGCACACCTGACCTCCAAGGTGGGCAAGAAAGGTGGGGCAGGGACCTGGCTCCTCCCTCTACCCCTAACTCCACTCAGTGCTGAGCACTGCCCTCCCTCAGATGGTGGGGGACATCAGAAAGTACGTGCAGCACATCAGCCTCTCACCTGACTCCATCCAGAACGACGAGGTGAGTACTTGACCAGCTGAGGGCTCAGCCTGGTGGGGAGTGTATGTGTGTGGTGGGACCCAGGTTCAGTCTGGCCCTGAGGACCCTCCCTACAGGCTGTGGCTCCACTCATGAAATACCTGGATGAGAAGCTGGCCCTACTGAACACCTTGCTGGTGAAGGAGAACCTGAACAGGTATGGACTGGGGAGGGTGGAGCAGGGTAGGCCAGGGTCCAGTCACAGATGCTGTGTCCCTGCAGGGTGCTGGAGGCCCTCTGGGAGCTGCTGCTGCAGGCCATTCTGCAGGCGCTGGGCACCAACCTTGACGTCTCTGCTGACTTCTACAGCCGTTTCCACTTCACGCTAGAGGTGGGATCTCATGGAGGTGCCCACCCTCTGCTGGGATCCAGGGGGCAAGGCTGCTGCCCTCCCCTTGGCCCTGCTGCCCCCTACCAGAATGCATTGGCTTGCCAAGTCTGGATAGCCCCTCCTCTGGGAACCCACCAGGGCAGCATTTCTTCCCAGTCAGCCCACCTGGATCAGCAGCATCTTGCTACCTATTATGACAGCTATCTGGCCTCAGGCACCAACATTTTCCCATGCTTCTTGGGGGTTTCTGATGTGCCCCTGGTGTGACAGGTGGCTCTGCCTTGGGCTCCCAAAATCCCAGTGCTACGCAAACTCAAAGCTCCACCTGTCTTGGTCCACTGTCCCTAGTACATGCCACAATCTCACATCTCTCCCTTCTTGCCCTGCCCCAGGCCCTGGTTACTTTTTTCCACGCAGAGGGACAGGGTTTACCCATGGAGAACCTGAGGGACGGAAGCTACAAGGTGAGGCCCAACCTTGGACCGCTGCTCCACACTAGCCTGGGTGCCTTCAGGGGCCCGCGGGCTGGGAGTTGGCTGCCACCTCCTCTCCCTCCCCCGCAGAGGCTGGAGGAGGAGCTGCGCCTACACAAGTGCTCCACCCGAGAGTGCATCGAGCAGTACTACCTGGACAAACTCAAGCAGGTATGCAGCCCAGCTGTGGGCACATGGCCTCATCCCAGAGCTCCTGAGCTGGGCTCACCAGCCCACGGGCCTTTCCGCAGAGGTCCCTAGAGCAGAACCGGTGTGGCCGCCTGAGTGTCCGTTGCTACTACGAGGCAGCTGAGCAGCGGCTGGTGGTGGAGGTGCTGCATGCAGCTGACCTGCTCCCCCTAGACCCCAATGGTGAGCAGAGGCATGGCCGGGGGGGGGGGGGGCAGGCCAGTGGGATGGTGGCACTCTGCTCACAGCCTGCCCCTCAGGCCTTAGTGACCCCTTTGTGATCGTGGAGCTGGGTCCACCGCACCTCTTCCCGCTGGTCCACAGCCAAAGGACCCAGGTCAAAAGCCGGACACTGCACCCTGTGTACGACGAACTCTTCTACTTGTGAGTGTTGCCTCCGCCTGCCCATCACCTGGCCAAGCAGGGAGCAGGGCTCTGGGTGACTGCCCTCTGCCTGCAGCTCCGTGCCAGCAGAAGCGTGCCGCCGCCGCGGTGCCTGTGTGCTGTTTACGGTCATGGACCACGACTGGCTGTCCACCAACGACTTTGCAGGGGAGGCAGCCCTAGGCTTGGGCAGCATTGGCGGCATTGTGCGGCCCCAGGCGGGCGGAAGCTCGAGGGCTGGGCAGCCCGTCACCCTGCACCTGCGTCGGCCCAGAGCCCAGGGTGAGTGGGGGGCCAGAGGGGCGGTGGTTCTAAGGGATAGCAGGGCCTGATGCTGCCCCTGCCCTCCTGCCTGCAGTGAGGTCCACACTGAGGATGCTGGAGGGCCGCACCAACAGGGAGGCACAGGAGTTTGTCAAGAGACTCAGGGAGTTGGAGAAATTCATGGAAGCGGATCCATGAGCCCCTGCAGCTGCCAGCCCCAGAACGCCACCAAGTCCCTGTGGTGTCATCCTCATCCTATGGTCAGCTTAGTGCAGCCAGGGCTCGTGGTATCCCCTCCCGGGTTGTGTGGTGTTTGTGCTGTGGCTAGACCTCCCAGCTCCCATCTGCCCTGGTGTGCCCATGTGGTTTGTGTTATGAACTCCTTGCACCCAGCAAGTACCCCCTAACCCTGTATCTGGGCAGCCAACTTGGTGGGGCCTGCCTGGCCAGCAGCTGCCCCCCTAAACAGGAGCAGAAGCCACCTGACTACCAGGTGAGCTTCTCTACCTGCCTCCTGGGGGATTCCACAGCCCCAGGCATGCAAGCATGTGGTTCTCAGTGGGGGGTTTGCCCCCTAGAGAATGTTAGGTCATGTCTGGAGACATTTTTGGCTGTCACACCTGGAGGTTGAAGGGGGTGCTCCTGGCACTAGTGGACAAAGTTCAGGGATGCTGCTTAATATCCTACAATGAACCAGAGAGAATGGTCCATCCCCAGTGTCAGCGGTGCCACAGTAGAGCTGCCTTAAAAGAAGCTATGTTCTTATCTCTCTTAGGGTCAGGGGGAGGCAGGAGCTCACTAGGCTGAGAGGCAGGAAGGCCAGGGTTTAAGTCTGACAACCCAAACCTTAGCATGAAGAAGCTCTCAGGGCCCCAGGTGGAAGGAGAGAGAACAGCCAGGTTCTCACCCTCCCTGTGCTCCAGAACCCTCCACCCATGGAGGGCATGTGGAGGAGAGGTTTGCTAAGCATGTCATAGGTCTCCAGTCCCCTACTTGCATCATAGGCCCAGGAGAGGGTCCTTTGGGTTTCTATGAGGCTGGTGGGTCAGTGTAAGGGGCTCCGTGCTGATGGGTCACCTGTCTGGCTTCTTTCATCTCTGTATTTATGCCCACACAAGACCTATTCCATGATCTGCCATCCCCACTGCCCAGACCTTTCCAGGCAGGGTCTGCCTCACTAGAGGCCGAGAGTACCCCAAGCACACAGGCCAAGTGCAAAGAAACAGAGGCTCATGCAGTCTCCCTGTCTGCAATTTCATTGGGGACTCTGAGGCAGGACCCAGAGCAAGGCTATGATAGAAGTTTTGGGAGAGAACCCAACAGTCAAGTGTTGCTTGTAGATGCCGAGGCTACCACGCCTGTCTTTGTTCCCACCAGTCCCACTGGCATCTCTAGATTTCCTCATCACTCTGCCTCGAAAAATACATGTGTGCAACCTTCAGTCTCTCTGCCGTTTCTTGATTCCTTTCCAAACCTCGGTGGGGGCCCTGGCCTCTAACCCCTGCTCCAGAGTCTCCTCCTCGTCTGAGCAGCTGCTGTTGCTGCGGCCTCCATCCTCAGCTTCGGGCCCAAGTTCCTCGGACTCCTCTTCACTGTCAATGTCACCATTGTCCCTGGGCAGCCTGGAAAGGGGTGTGTTCATTAAAGGCACCATCTGTGGCTTGTATGAGGCAATCCTTCCCTGGCACCCTGACCCACAGAAGCCCTGAGGCTGAGTACAAATTCCTCATACTCCTTGTGTTCTTGAAACCAAAACCTCTCAGTCCATACCCTGCATTTCCACAGTCAACCCCCTCCATCCCCACCCTCACCCCCACCCCCATGCAGCAGGAGGAGCTGAGGCCAGAGGGAGAGGATAGCTCTGGGTCTGAGCTGTCAAGAAATTGGGAAGCCTGAGGACCTACCAGGTGGCAGCCACGGGCCTGTTGGGGTTTGCAAATTCTCGTCCTGAATCCACATCAAAGGGATCTGAACAGAGGGAGCACAAAGGACCATGACATATAGGTAAGCTTTAAGCAGAACCTAGCCTTCCACCCCTGGAGCTTCTCAAAGAAGTGACAGGCATGGAGGCTTGACTCCCACCCAGGGGAGGCTCACATCCATGCCAGGCCTCACCGATCTCTTCTTTGGGGCGCTCCTTGGCATGGGCCAGGAATGCCTGTTCTGCTTGCAGCACCTCCTCTGGGCCGCAGCAGGCTGCATACTTGTCCAGGAGCTGACGGTTCAGGTCTAGGAAGGCCTTGCCCCACTTGAACTTCCGCAGCAAAATGACAGCAAGGTCTGAGAAGCCTGATGCCACAGAAACAGGAAACCCAAGAATGTCAATCCCTTTCCAATCCTGAGTGAGTCCCCAGCATCCCCGATGCTGTCACAGGAACTAAAAGTCCCTGTCAGACACCATCCTACAATCCAGACAGCCCATGCCTGCCTCTGCAGCCTACTAAATCCCCTGCCCATGTGTCATGGGGCTGCCCACCTAGACCTCTATTGGGACCATAAATTCTGAGAATGAGATGAAGGGTGATGGAGGGCTCTCAGGGCAGTGGTGCCATGAAAACAAGGCCAAATATGAGTGCTTGCAGGCCAGATATTCATTTTGCCACCTCAACCCCACAGAGCGAGAACTTTTAAGTGGAAGTTGGGATAGAAAACCTGGCCTGTCCATCTCAACCACCTCTGCACACACCCTCACGTTTCTCCTGAGACTTGCCAGTAGAAAACACTAATGGTAGCACAGCCAGACCTCCAGGCTGCCAGGCCCCATACTCACCCAGGATGCAGAAGGTGGCGGCAAAAGCCTCCACACAGGACAGTTTGCAGGGACGGCCATAGTTCACGGGGTTGGCGGCCACAAGGTGGGGCAGCAGTCTACAGTGACTCCCTCGCATCTTCCCAAAGGGTGTCTCTTCTAGTCTGGCCCAGGAGCAGTCGATGACAGCCACCCCCGACTGTACCACCAGCTGTCTGGCAGGAGCAGAATAGGGTTCTGGGGGCCAGCACCACCTTGGTGATGACCCTAGAACAGGTATGTCCCTGGAGACTGCCCTCACTAGGGATAAAACATCATTCCCCTGCCTCAAACAACCCCCAAGGGCCCTTATAGGCCAAGTTTTGAGGCAGGGAACTAGAACAGGCTAACTTATTCATGTGACAAACGTTTTTTTGAGATCCACTATATTCTGGGCTCTACTCTAGGCAGTGGGGGCAAACTTAACAGATAGGTGTAAATAGGTAAGCCCCGAAATGAATGACGCGCCAAAGCCGGGGGTTTATTAAGATGAATGTTCAGGCAAGCACCCCGCCCATTCCCACTCCTTCCCCCTCGTCCGGGCTCTCACGCCTACCTGTCGGCAGGGGACACGTACTGGGAGCCCATGGGGCTGAGCACGAGGCCTCCGAACCTGTGGCCCAGGCGCAGGCAGCGCACCAGGCCCAGGCGGGCCAGCTTCCGGCCGGTGCAGCGCCGGGGGTCGCAGTGGCCCAGCTCCCACATGGCTAGCGTGCAAGGCAGCCGCACCGGGCTCCGGCCGTCATTGGCCTCGGCGGACTCCGACTCCACGGATGCTGCACCGGGCAGAGAACGAGACTGGGCCTCACGCGGGGCTCCGCCACTCGCCGTGGGCATCGGACCCCAGCCCGGGCCCTGCTTCCGGATCACGCCCCACTTACCACGCAGCGCGACGCCCACCTCCTCGGCGAACTCCTCCAGAGAGCGGCCTGCAGGACACCGAGTGCGGCCGCCTTCGGCCCCCGGCCTGCGCGCTGCTCTCCGGCGGCCCATAGCGGGGAGCAGGGTCCCCGACACCTGCCGGCAACTCCCCGCTGGCAGCCGGGCTTCGCGCACTAAGCCTGCGCCGGGCTCCGCTTCTATTTCCGGCGCTCACGTGACTGGGCGGTGTTCACGTGACCGCGAGCCCTGCCGGCGCGGGAGTGATGGCGGCGGGCTTGGCGTGCCTGGTGCTGCCGCTCGCTCTCCAGGTGTACGGTTAGTGTCCTGGCGTCCGGCGCGCCCCGCCCAGGCTCCTGCGACCCGAGACCCTTGCCGACCCCTTCCCGAGCCCCCGTCCCGAGCCCCCGTCCCGGCTGTCCGCCCTCCTCATGCCCCGCTCCCCATAGGTCCTGCGTATGCAGGCGCCGCCAAGATGAAGGTGGTGGAGGAGCCCAACACGTTCGGGTGAGCAGCCTTGGGAGGCGTGGCGGGCCGGGCTGAGGGGTGGCCCAGGTCCGGTTTCTCCCTGACCCTACCGCTTCCCGCAGGCTCAACAATCCATTCCTGCCCCAGACTAGTCGCCTGCAGCCCAAGAGGGATCCTTCTCCTGTATCTGGTGAGTGTGGTGCCCTTGATTCTGACATGCTGGTGGCCAGGGAGGGAGCAGGGAGCTGGCCTGGATTCCGGGGTGGACCGGGTCCGTGCTTGGGAGCCTGCTCGAGGGGGGCCAGGGAGGAAAGGACGGCGTCTGATGAGGGGCTCTGAAAGTTAGGGCCTGGAGGCTCATGCATTGGTTTGTCAGCTTTTGTTCATTTTTGTTTAGCTAATCCTCACTCGAGGATTTTTTTCCTTCTCTTTAATGGAGTGGAAAGGATGGAGGGAGGGAGAGAGAAACTTCTATGAGAAAAGAGAGAGACACATCAGTTGGTTGCCTCCTGCACAGCCCAACCAGGCTGGGAATAAAACCTGAGACCCTTCAGTCCATGGGCTGACACTAACCGCTGAGCCAAACTGGCTAGGGCTTTGTCAACTTTTTAAAATTATTTTTGAATATGCGATAATATTCCAGCATGTTATTGTGCCAAGTTAAATAGTTGTCCCCGGATGTAGTTCTTTATTTCCTTCTCTGGAGGTGTTCTCTGTTAACAGTTTGGTGTCTATCCTTCCAAACGACTTTTATGCTTTTACGTGCACAGGGATGCAAGTAAAAAAAAAAATAATAATAAATTTTTTGTGATCTTTGCCATTCTTTTTTTAAACAGTACTACTATACAAGTTTGAGCATTTGCTATTGTCGTTCACTGTGTATCTTGGAGCTCTTCATATTTACATTTGTAGGCCATTAGAAACAGTGCTGTGAAGAACATGCCTTATAGGGACCACCTTTTTATAGGTCGCAGGATCCCAGAAGTGGCTAGATCAGTAAATAAGTATGAAATATAACAAACAAAATCCAGTAACTTTCACTGTATGTGTTAGGGTCACTACTGTGGATGCAGAAAGAACAAAACATACAGTATTTGTCCTCATGGACTTGAGCGTTCAATAGGGGATAGGCAGTAAACCAAGAAGTAGGTAAAGTGTAGAGTGTTTGATGAAAAATGCTCTGTAGGTATAAAAAGCAGAGTGTGTCTGGGAAGGGTGTTGTTTTGGGAGGATTGCCATTTTAAATGGGGGACTCAGAGCCCTGGCCAGATAGTTCAGTTGGTTAGAGCATCTTCAAGATTTGTGCATTCACCGGTTGATTCTTGTATGTGTCCTAACCTGGGATTGAACCCAAAACCTTGGTGTATGGGGAGGATGCTGTAACCAACTGAGCTATCCGGCCAGGACCCCTACTCCCTTTTTAAAAGAATTTTTGTGACATTGACTTTTGGAAGGATCCAGGCAAGTTGTCTTACACAATGTTTGATCTAGATTTGTCTGGTTCATGATGTCATTTAGCTTGTTCTGCTTTACTCAGTGTGTTTTGGAAATGATAAGATAGGCTTGAGAGCTTGATTACAGGTAGGTTACACAGTTTGGGCACAAATATCTCATAGGGAAGTAGCGGACTCTATATGGTCTCATGTCAGAGGGTGAGTGCTGCAGGGTCTGTCAGTTGTGGAGGTGGGTTTCGCCCTCTGCTTTTAGCATGCCGTCTGCGAGCTCCTGGCTCCAGTGAGTATACTGTCCCCGGCAGCTTCACACTTCAGCCTAATGGGAGAAGAGTGCTGATTTTCTACTTCTCTCATGCCTTCTGTATTTATTAGCTGGTGGCCTCTGGTGAGAAAAAAAAAAGCATTCCTTTTTTTCCTTCTTTAGACTTTCTTCTTTTGAATTGTTATCATTAAACCATATGTTTATTGAGGTGTAACTGACATGTTCAGTTTGACAGTTGAGCATATCTATGTAATTGCCACCCCAAACAAGGTAGAGAGCAGTTTCATCTCCCAGAGAGTTCCTCTGTCCCTTTCCAAATCCCCCCATCACTTTCTGGTTTGTGTCACTACAGAGCAGTCTCATCAGTGCTTGGATTTCAGATAATAGAGATACATAGCACACATTCCCATGTCTGGCTACTTTCTCAGTGACACGTTTTGGGGATTTATCTGTGTTGTTGTATGTACCACTAGTTTTTTTTTTATTCCTTAATACACATAATGACTGTGTCATCTGACTAGGGCTTGTAGTCTAGTTTAATGTATCGTGCCAATGTTAATTTCACAGTTTGGTGATGTGCTAATGTTATGTGAAGTGTTAGCCTTGGGGGAGGCTGGATGATGGTGGGTGGACTTCTTTGAGTACGTACTGCAACTTCTTGTAGCTCTAGTTATTTCAAAATAAAAAGCACGCACATACATACGTATATATGTATTTGTGCTAGAAGAATAGGTGAAGTCCAAGTGATTTTAAGTTTCCAATTGAAATGTAATATCAGGTTTTTTTCTGCTCCTGTGTTTTTCTCTAACACTGAAAAGCTATTAGATATTTAATCACATAAATACATGTATTGGCTTCCTCCTACAATTTATATTAAGATAGTTTCAGAATTGTAATAACAACATTACTACTAACTATAAATAACTGAAGTTTGAGCTTCTTTTTAGTTTATTTTAGAACGCATCCAACCAAAGATGGATGTCAGGGCACAAAGTTGACCACGTCCTTGTTTTCTGTATTATCAACTTGACTTCAAAGTTTGCTTCATGTGTATTTATACTTGTGCTCATTTTTACTGGTTGCTATGCATATTTTTCACCTTTGATTTTTCCTTAACCTTAAATTTGTTCTGTGTTATGGACAATTTCAAGGATGTATAAAAGTGGAGTAAAGCCCGGCCGGTGTGGCTCAGTGGTTGGGTATCGACCCATGTACCAAGAGGTCGCTAGTTCGATTCCTGGTCAGGGCACATGCCCAGGTTGTGGGCCAATAGGGGCATGCAGGAGGTGGCCAGTCAGTGTTCTCGCTTGTTGATGTTTCTCTCTCTCTCTCCCTCTCCCTTCCTTTCTCTCTAAAATAAAAAAAAATACAAAAAATAAACACAAAAACCTGGACTGAAGAGTATGTGAAGCACCAAGCTTTCTCACCCAGCCTCAACCCCCACCCTACTTTCTCTCCCCTAACCCTTTTTACTTTGAAGCAAATATCTCACTTCTTTCATTTGCACATATTTCAGTATTTATCACCCTAAGGGCATAGCCACAATATCTTCATCACACTTTATTTATTTACTTATAATATGTTTTTAATTGATTTTTTTTAGAGAGAGTGGAAGGGAGAGATAGAAACATTGATGTGAGAGAGAGACATCGATCGGCTGCCTCCTGCACGCTCCCTCCCTGGGGATCGAGCCTGCAACCCAGGCATGTGCCCTTGACCAGGAATCGAACTGGGACCTCTCAGTCCATGGGACGATGCTCAGTCCACTGAGCCACACTGGCCAGGCTCTTCATCACACTTTTTTAAAAGCCATAATTCTAGCCCTGGCCGGTTTGGCTCAGCGGTTAGAGTGTAGGCCTGCGGTCCTGAGAGACCCGGGTTCGGTTCCCACTAAGGGCGCGTACCTCTGTTGCAGTTTGTCCCCAGCCCTGGTCGGTTGTGTGGGTGGCAGCCACTCGATGTGTCCCTTCACATCGATGTTTCTCGCTCTCTCTCTGTTCCTCTCTCTCCCTCCCACTCTATCTGAACAAAAAATGGAAAAATGTCCTCGGATGAGGATTTAAAAAATGTGTGTGTGTGTGTGTGTGTGTGTGTGTGTGTATTTTAAACCTCACCCAAGGATATGCTTAGAGGAAGGGGGGGGGGGAGAGAAACATCAATGAGAGAGAGAAACATCGATCAGTTGCCTTCCATAGGCTCCCTGACCAGGAGTGGAGTCCACAGCTCAAGTATGTGCCCTGACCAGGAATTGAACTGGTGACCTTTCAGTGCACAGGATGACGCTCCATCAACTGAACCACTCTGGCCAAGCTGTCCCTCCCATTTTAAAACATTTCCATCATCCCACTCTCCCTCCCCTTTGGCAACCATCACCTTGTTCTCTATGTGTATCTGTTTGTTTTGTTTATTCATTTGATTTTGGGGGGGAATTTTTTTTTTCTTTTTAGATTTCACATATAAGTGAATTCATATATTTGTCAAGTGCTTTTTCTGCATAAGTGAATTCGTATATTTGTCAAGTGCTTTTTCTGCATCTATTGATATGATCATATGCTTTTTCTGCTTTATTTTGTAATGTGATGTATCACATTGATTTATGGATGTTGAACTATCCTTTCATACCTGGATGAATACCACTTAGTCATGGGTTTATAATCCTTTTAATATATTGTTGAATCTGGTTTGCTAATGTTTGTTGAGAATTTTCACATCTATGTTCATCAAAGATATGGCCTATTATTTTCTTTTTTGGTAATGTCTATTCATGGTATGGGTAATTCTGGCTCCATAGAATGAGTTTGGAAGCGGCTGTTCCTTACTATTAAATTTTTTGGAATAGTTTTGGAAGGATAGGTATTAATTTTTCTTTGAATGTTTGGTAGAATTTACCTGTGAAGCTGTCTGATTCTAGACTTTTTATTTGTTAGGATATTTTTCATTATTGCTTCAATTTCATTGCTGATCTGTTTAGATTC